GGTGCTTATAGCCCACCAAGGGGACTGGATAGCTTTCTAATAATGTAAATAAGGTATAAGATACCCTTATGGGGTGGGACCATACAAATAAGGTGTATGGAACCCTAACATTGGGATTGATCAATTCTGCCATCTTGCTAGGCTTAAAGTGAGCCATCTCAGAGGCTGGAAGAAAGGACTCTCACTACCGTCAAGAAAGAAGAGCCAGGAGTGGAGCACAGCCTTTGGACTTGAGATCCCCGCACTGAACCTACTCAATCCAGGAGACAAAGAGCTGTAACACCAGAGATGATGAAAAGCAGTGGCAGAAAAATGGCAGCAGCAGAGGTAGCAAAACCAAGAGACTGGCACAAGACAGAGTGGTGGGCTTCCTGGCCCACTGAGCAAGAAAGCTGAGTGCCTTTAGGCAGGAGGACTCCTGCAGAGTAGGGCATCTATCCATGGAGCTAGGCTCACTGACCCAGGGAGCAACTAATCAAGGCTTACTGGAAGAATAAGGTGGTGCCTAAGGCATTTGACTGTTAACCAGAATGCTGGCCATTCAAACTTACCAGCCACTCCTCGGAAGGAAGGTTGGGTAATCTTTTATTTACTGATGTCATCTTTATAATTACCATTATTTCTAATTCAACATGATAGTCTCTTTAAATACTGTATTTAAACCAGTGTCTACAGTAGGTTTCCTAATGTTTTCAAATTCTGACTCCTGTATCTACTCACAGGAGCTCTGGTAGCATAGTGCCTAAGGCACTTGACTGCTAACCAGAAGGCTGGCGGTTCAAACTCACCAGCCACTCCTCGGAAGGAAGGTTGGGTAATCTACTTCCATAGTGATACTGCCTCAGAAACCCAAGGAGGGGTCGTTATGAGTTGGATCCAACTTGATGGCAGTGGGGTTTTTTTTAGACATTTATTAGGAGCTCTGGTGGCATAGTGAGTGCGTAAGGCATCTGACTGCTAACCAGAAGGCTAGTGGTTCAAACCCACCAGTTACCCCTCGGAAAGAAGCTTGGGCAATCTATTTCTGTAGTGATACCACCTTGGAAACCCAAGGAGGGGTTGCTGAGTCAGATCTGACTCGACGGCAGTGAGTTTTTTTTTTTTTTTTTTGGTAGGCATTTATTATTTATTTATTAAGGTGCTCTAGTGGCATAGTGCCTAAGGCATTGACTGCTAATCAGAAGGCTGGTAGTTCAAACCCATCAGCCACTCCATGGAAGGAAGACTGGGTAATCTACTTCCATAAAGATTTACTACCTTGGAAACCCAAGGAGGGTTGCTATGAGTCGGAATCGACTTGATGGCAGTGAGTTTGGTTTTAGTTTTAGGCATTTATTGCCTAAAAGAGCTTTGTAATACTTGCTTGAGCATGGCAGAGGCCAGGCAGAGGGGGCCGAGGGCCAGAGAGAGACCTGCCTTTGGTCACAGCTGAGGAGAGTCTGTCCTAATTGAAGAAATGTATCCTGAGTATTCCAGATCCTGTTACTTCCCTAATAAACCCCATTAACTGTGAGTATTGTGTGTGAGTTTTATGTGGCCATTGCAACAGATTATCAAAACCAGCAGAGAAGTAGAGAGTGCCATGGGAGGGATGGCTGGTATAAGAATTGGTAAAAAGGTTGGAGGGTAGTAGGTAGCATGTCTGACCTTAGCCTTGTAGGAATCAGCCTTGGGCTGTTGATCTTGATCCTTCTCCCACCTTGTGAAGTTAGAGGAGGTCAGACACCATCACCATGCCATTTTTAGATAAGTAAATGATTAATTTTTTTAAAAAATGAAAGACAAAGATAAACTGAGGAACTGTCACAGACTGGAGGAGACTAAAGACGTTAAAACTAAATAAATACAAGGTGGGAACTCAAGTTGGATCTCGAACCAGAAAAAAGACATTAGTGGGAAAACTGGTGAAATTCAAATAAATATGTAGGCTGGTTCATAGTGTCATATCACAGTTAATTTCCTGGTTTTTGTAACTGCACTAGACGGAGTTATGTAAGATGTTAACATTAGGGGATGTTGAATGAAAGGGAGATGGGAACTCTATGGCTCTCTGTGCTATTTTTGTAACTTGTATGTAAGTCTAAAATTATGGCAAAATAAAAAGTAAAAAAAAACTTACATCGTTAACACTCCCTTGTAGCACAGTGTGTGGAAAACCTTATTCTTATTGATAGCTGGGAGTGCTTTCAATGAAATGATTAAAGATATATAATCCTCTCCTGTTTTTGGCTACCAGGAAGCCCAGGATACTATCTTTTCCAGCTCTAGCTTTTATGATGCATCAACAACTGTCTTTGTGACTTAAACTATCCAAGCTTCAGTTTATTTTCTTCAGTTGTAACATGAAGGTAATCAATACTCTTTGCAAAGTGGTATTTAGGAAGCCAGCCATGGTGACCTGGCACAGAGTCTCAACAAATATTTAATGATTGACTTCCATGTATAAGATTGTGTGCTGGATGCAGGGAATATTGAACAAGGCCCTTGTTCTCCTGGAGCTCACATCCTAGAGGGAAAGCCAGAAAATCAACAGGTAAACAAATAAGCAGATGATGACAGGCAGACCGTGGTGTTAGGGAGGAAATAATGAGGGTGATGTGATGGAAGGTAATGGATGGAAGACGTGGCCTGTCTTAGTGCAGTTAAAGACTGCTCTGTAAAGGAGAAATTTCAGCAGATACATGAAGGATGAGAAAGCTAGCCACAAAAAGAGGGAGCAAAGAGAATCCTAGGCAGAAGGCACAGAGAACAGGCTGGCGCTGAGATGGGAAAGGACTTGGCAAGTTCTAGGAGGCCAGTGGGCAACAGCGTAGTGGACAGAGAGGATGGTAGGAAATAAGGTAAATAAGCAGTATGATGACTAATAATAATTAATCAGTTCTAACATTCTTTTTCTGGCCTTAGTGGTTTTATACCTGGGGCTTTTTTTTTTTTTTTAAATTATAAGCAGTTTCAAAAACATTTGAAGTTGTCAATATATAAAGGAAAAAAGTATATGACAGTAGTGGGTTTGGTATTTGGTTTTAAAGCCATTAATTAGCAATAACTTCAATAAACCAAAAAAACAAACCCACTGCCGCTGAGTTGATTCCAACTCATAGCAATCCTATAGAACAGAGTAGAACTGCTCCATAGGGTTTCCAAGGCTGTAAATATTTACGGAAGCAGATTGCCTCATCTTTCTCCTACAGAGTGGCTGGTGGATTTGAACTGCCGACCTTTTGGTTAGCAGCCAGATGCTCAACCATTGTGTCACTAGAGTCCCTTCTGTAACTTTAATAGCTAACATTTATTAGAAGTGCTTGGGTGGTGCAGTTAATGGTCTCTGCTAAGTGAAAGATGGGAAGATTTAGTCCACTCAGAGGTGACTCAGAAGAAAGGCCTGGTGATCCACTTGTGGAAAATCAGCCCCTGAAAACTCCATGGAGCACAGTTCTACTCTGAAACAAACATATCATGAGTTAGGATGGACTCACTGGCAATTGGTAACATTTATTGAGCCCTTAGTATGTGCTTTATATGAATCAAACATTTTCTCCCACCAATCCTATGTGATAAGCATGATTCTTACTTTATTTTTATGTATGAAGAAAACAGAGTTTTATAAAACCTCCAAAGCTAACAGCGAAAAAGTTGAAGAGCAGGAGTCTGAACCACTCCAGCTCCTGAGCCAGCTCTCTGAGCCACTCCACAATGCTGCCTCTATGGGTTACATAGTGTTACAGACTGAATCATGACCCCCTAAAAACAAGTTGAGGTCCTAACCCTTGATACCTGTGAATATCACCTGTTTGGAAATAGGGTCTTAGAAGATGTTATCAGTTAAGTTAACATGAGGTCATACTGGAGTAGGGTGTTTCTAACCAAATCTGAATGGTGTCATATAAAAGAGGAGGAGAGACACCGAGATAGGAAAGACAGCCAATGAGATGAGAAAGTCACACTGCAGCTGCAAACCAAGGAGCTCCTAGGTTAATGGAGGCTGAGAGAGACAAGGATCTTCCCCTATAGCCTTTGGGAGCATGGCCCTACTAACACCTTTAATTCAGACTCCTAGCCTCCAGAACTATGAAACAATAAATTTCTGCTGTTAAAAGCCACCTACTTTGCATACTTTGCCAAGGCAGCCCTAGGAAACTAATATAACCCAACCCATTGCTTTCAAGTTGATTCCAACTCATGGTGACCCTATAGGACAGAGCAGAACTGCCTCATAGGGTTTCCAAGACTGTAATCTTTACAGAAGCACACTACCACATCTTTATCCTGTGGAGGGGCTAGTGGGTTCAAACCACTGACCAGTTTGATTAGCAGCTAAACGCTTAACTAATGGGCCACCACACTCCAGGAAACTAATTTGCATAGCTGATATATAAAGCTAATATACACAGCTATCAGTTATCTGATGGCATGCACAAGTCCTCCTTAGTTTATAACAGCCATTGTGTTTCCTAGTAGCAGGAAAAATATTTGGAATTCATAATCTTTAATTGAGTATCAAGGATTCACATAATAGCATTAAATTCTATTTAGTATTAAGAAATGGGGTCTAAGAGTGGCAGAAGAAAAAAATCTCCCTCACTATAAAAATAAGAACTCTAATTAATTAACATTGTAATAATCATTCTCAATTTGCAGAACTTATCCATTATTAAGTCTTCATCCATAATTCATTACACAGATGTTTATGTGGGTCAAAGTATGCACAGCTTGCAAATAGCTACTAGGGTGCTCTCCTGGGGCTACCAACAATATGTACTAAGTAAACACAATGAGATTGATTTTATTATTTAAATAATTTTGATCAGTGAAAGTATGAAGGTAAAATAGTCTGAGAAAAAAAAAGAATCAATGAACAAAATAGTCTGACTTAGGGTGGTAAAAAAAAAAAAAAATTAAGCATTCATTTTCCAGGTGGAATTCTGTTTTCATGTATAATCTCTAATGTGCTTAAAGCCTACCCAAAACTAAACACAGTTATTGTAATCCACTCCACTTACATTCCCATCATGGTTTGGGCAAGAGAGAGGCTTTCCCGCAGCCACAGCAGTGACCGTCTCCAAGATGGAAGACTCCTCAACATTACTTCCTGGAGTTCGCTGCAGCACATCCATCAGGTTTGTGATGAAGAAGTTGTTCTGGAGTGCGGCCACCCCTTTCTCGGGCAGGATGGAGGTCTGGCGGCACACTGGGCAGGAGAGGGTTAAACTGTGGGCGGGAATGTAGTTCTGCAGGCACCTGTGACAAAAGCAGAGGTGGGAGGACAGTCAGCACAGTGGGGCTCATGGGATAGACCACCAATTCTCTCAGGTACTACACATGTTCTCAGCAACTACATGGACTTTGCCAAAACTTCCTTCATGATCTCCTTTGCTAGAATGGTATTTCAGAAAACAGGAGATAACCTACACTCACACTGGCCCTATAAACTGATCAGGCAAATGATTATGCTCAAGAAAAAAAAATAAGGTCACTGACTTCAGCATTGTTTTCAGTAGTTGTCAGTTGCCACTGAGTTGATTCCGACTCATAGCAACCCCACATGTGCAGCGTAGTACTGCTCCATAGGGCTTGCAAGACTGTGATTTGGGGATGCAGATTGCCAGGCCTCTCTTTCAAGGTGCCTCTAGGTAGCTTTGAACTGACAACCTTTTGGCTTATAGTTGAACACTTAACCTTTTGTGCCACCCAGGCTACCTAGAGCCACACAAAATTTGGTCCATGGTTGAGCAGCATAGGCTTCACCCAGAAGCTATGGTAGAAATGCGGAGCTCTGGTGGCATAGTGCCTAAGGCATATGACTGCTAACCAGAAGGCTGGAACAGGTAGACTGTTAGCTGGCATTCATGTTTTAGCTGTATCCATTAAGTGAGAAGGCAAAAGAAACAAAAAACAAAAAACTCTCCATTTAATTATTTTGGAACTTAAGCCAAAGTATAAAGCAAAGTAAAAATTACTGGTGCCCTATGTGCTACCACAAAGAGCCTTGGTGGCACAATGGCCAAGTGCTCATCTGCTACCTGAAAGGTTGTTGGTTCAAACCCATCCAGCAGCTCTGAGGGAGAACCTAGTGATTGGCTCTCATGAAGATGACAGCCTAGGAAACCCTATGGGGCAGTTCTACTCTGTCATATATAGGACAGGACTTCAAACCAGAATGAAACTGAAACTGAAATAAACCCTGAAATTTTTGCTGAGTGAAACCAAAACAAGAATTGATTTTTTTTTCCTGAACTCAAATCAAAATTGAAAACCATTATTTTTTTTCACTCCACTATTTTCAGTTCAATGATAATTTTTAAGTTATAAGCAAGACCATTAGACCATTTATGTTTGATTTGCATCTAGTACCCATGTATGTTGAATGCTTCTGACACGTGCCTGGCAAACGATGCTGTGCGGCCACAGCTATACGTGATGACTGCTGTTACACGAGATGATTCTCAGACCAATCAGAGTTTGCTGTTTCTGCTCTGTGTTTGAACTCTCTCACAGTAATGCCAGATGTGCTACTGAAGATGTACGACACACTCAGCAACTGAGAACATTTTTAGTCAGAAACTTGAAAGGGCTGGTTAAAGAGTTCTGAACAGAGTTTTATGTGAACAGAAATCTGTCAGGTGAGTATAAACAACTGAAACATACATTACTCACACTCTTAAGTGTGATATTTAAATTCCAGAAATAGAAAATAGTGTATAATTTTTTGATGACTCCATTCTTGTATTCAATTTCAACTTAAATGTATTATCACACATGGTAAGGAACCCTGGTGGCACAGTGGGTGAAGTGATTGACTGCTAAGAAAAAGGTCATAGGTTTGAACCCACCAGCCATTCCACGGGAGAAAAAGAAGCAGTCTGCTTCCATCAAGATTTACAGCCTTGGAAACACTATGGGGCAGTTCTACTCTGTCCCATATGGTGGCTATGAGTTCGAATTGACTCACGGCAGTGGGTTTTGGTTTTGGCATCACACATCGTTTGTACGTATGTGTTTGAATTTGATATTTATCTCATAAATTGAAACATTAACAAACACCAACCATTAGTGAAAAGAAAATTAATGTCTCAATTGTGATATACTACTATTTCACAACTTGATGGCATCATATGAAATGAGTTTTTTCTTCAAATGGTGCTGGATAAATGTATGATTATATTGTAATGTGGGACTTTGAATGGAAGAAACAGGCAAACCTCATAAATATAAATTTGAAGTTATTCTGGTTTTTCTAATATACTGACTATACATGGCTACAAGCATTTTAAACATACCGGCTCTAATTCATAATAATTCATGTATCTATACGTTCTGTTTTCTTTATGTTGTCAAGGTCTAAGGCTCATTTTTACTGTAATGTAATATTTGAAAAACAAAAAGCCCAGTGCCATTGAGTTTATTCTGACTGATAATGACTGCTTTGGTCCTCTAGTGCTGCTCTAACAGAAAATACCACAAACAGATGCTTTAACAGGGATTTATTCTCTTAAAGTTTAGGAGGCTAGAAGTTGGAGTTCCAAGTACAAGTTCTAGGGGCTGGGTGAAGGACCCTCAACCTTGGGCTTCAGCTCTGCCTCGTGCTCCTGACCCACTAAAATTGGAGGCTTCTCTTAGCTCAGGCAGCTGCTGGCTGCTGAGGCTGACAAACCCAACGTCAACAGTAAAATGGCACAGTCCCAAGATTATCAAGCAACATGGCAGGCCACTTGTTCAAGTCCAGAAGCAGTTCCAAGATCAGCAGGTAACATGGTAGGCCACTGACATAAAGATTCAGCCAAATGCAGGATTCAGATGTGCCAAAAGCTTGAGATCTTAAAGTTTCTTCTTATATACGGGCAGCAGACCACATCCCTAAGGCAGCTACTCAGCTGCTCACAGTAGATACCACCATGGAGTTGGTTACCAGTTTCATTATGGCGAATAAATACATCCAGCTGCCTAGCCACTCAAAACCAGGCCCAGCCAAGTTGACATATAACTTTAACTACCACAGTGACCCTATACGCAGTACAAACTGCCCCATAGGGTTTCCAAGACTGTAAATCTTTACAGTAACAGAATGATAAATCCTTCTTCCTCAGAGCAGCTGATGAGTTCATACCTCCCATTCAGTAGCAGACAAGAGCTTTAACCACAATGCCACCAGGGCTCCTTAATGTAATATAAATGAAACACACCGTTGTCGAGTCGAATCCGACTCATAGTGACCCCTCTTTGAGTTTCTGAGGCAGTATCACTACTGAAGTAGATTGCCCAACCTTCCTTCTGAGAAGTGGCTGGTGGGTTTGAACCACCAGCCTTCTGGTTAGCAGTCAAATGCCTTAGGCACTACGCCACCAGAGCTCCTTAATGTAATATAGTGACTTTAAAATATGCTCTAATATTATTATTTCTTATTCCTTGATTCTATATGGGATTGTTTTGCACCTCTAATGCTACCCTGGGAGCTCTGGTGGCATAGTGCCTAAGGCATTTGACTGCTAACCAGAAGGCTGGCAGTTCAAATCCACCAGCCACTCCTGAGAAGGAAGATTGGGCAATCTACTTCTGGAGTGATAATGCCTTGGAAACCCAAAGAAGGGTCGCTATAAGTCGGATCCAACTCGATGTCAGTGAGTTTGGTTTTGGAAATTTGCCCCTAGTTTTTCCTTGAGGGACTTTATAGTTTTAGGTTTCACATTTAAGTCTTTGATCCATTTGGAGTTAGTTTTTGTGTATGGTAATGAGGTACAGATCTTGTTTCATTTTTCTGCAAATGGGCAAACTTAGGGGCCCTAATATATGGCATAATGCCTAAGGCATTTGACTGCTAACCAGGAGGCTGGTGGTTCAAACCCACCAGCCACTCCTCGGATGAAGATTGGGCATCTACTGCCATAGAGATACTGCTTTGAAAACCCAAGAAGGGGTTGCTATAAGTTGGAACCAACTTGACGGCAGTGAGTTTGGTTTGGGTTTTTTTTTTTAATATATGGCATAAACACACTATCTAGCATAATCCAAAATGTACAAACAGCAGAAGATAAACTAGATGAATGGAACCTTCTAAAAATTAAATTTTTATGTGCTTTCAAAGACTCCTACCAAAAGAGTGAAAAGAAAACCTACAGATTGGGGAAAAATATTCGACAATGACATATCTGACAAGAGATCTCTAAAAGTTATAGAAAACTTCAACAGCTCAACAACAAAAAGATAAATAATCCAATTCAAAAATGGGTGGAAGAACACACAAAAACGAACTCCAGATGGATCAAAGACTTAAATGTGAAACCTAGAACTATACAGTTCCTCAAGGAAAATTTAGGGTCAAATTTAAGGGCC